ATTCAGTGTCCAGCGTTGATACACATTTATTTTACTGACATTGGACAGATGATGTTATTTTCTTGATTGAATTTATTTGGCATAATAAACCTGTATAGATTAAGTATACTACATGGGCTCAACAGAGATAATGAAATACTTTACAGAGATACTCTACAGAAATATATTAGATGTTGATGGTATATAAATACATTGTTTAAATATTTTATAAACAACTTACATAGTAACTTTCATTCTGTTTTAAGAACAATATCCAGTATATCAGTAAAATTATGGAAATATAAATCTTACTTTATCTCTTTATATATTTTATTTCCAGATGGAATTTCTTCTCTAGATTTGGGTCCCTTCAAATCAATGTGTTCTTCTGCTCACTCATGAAGCCATATATGCTACATATCATGTTTTCCTCTCTTTTTTTCCTTCAGACAATCAAAAGGCTTTTCTGCATTTGTATATCAAGTGACAACTACAGGACACATATTATTATGAATAAAAGTGCAATGTTTGTCAGAACTTGTTCACAGTAGTTCAACAGAAACTAAAAACTTTGTTCCTGGGGGATTCATTCTGAAAGTTAATGCAAATCAATAATGAGAGCACAGAGAGAAAAGTTTACTTTCTGGTTGATGCATCTGTTTGTCAATTGTCAAACAATTAGATCTGTATAAGATGAAAGGATATTTAAATAGTAAAACTAAACACCAAGTTCTCCTCAACCATCAGGTTTGTAAGGGATCAAAAGTACTTAAAACATTAAAATGTAGAAAGTAATACATTGTGATTCACACACACACACACACACACACACACCTGTACAGAACTATGTTGCTTGATTATATTTTATATGATTTTGAAGAAAATAATGTATTAATTAAAGCTGTCCCAATTTTTTTTAAAAAAAGAGTTACTAGCATTGAGCTACTACTACGATTATTAACCTGTTTCCTAGCTCCTTTGTGTTCATTTTGTATCAATTCTACTTCTTTTTGCTATGAACTGTTGTTTCATAATTAATACATTTCCAGCTCGAATACTTGATCCTCAAAAGCTCACTCACAAATTATGGAAAATACTGTATTCAATACAGTACAATGAAGAACATTGAAATGAACAACGTATTTGAGACATCTCTAATCAGAAACGAAGGTTCATAAATTCTACAACACACTCCTGACATGGGATATAAAACATTCACATTGTGAATGGCTATAATACCATGGCCAGTTCAGAGGCATCTTGAGGACAGGGGTGGGAAATGACAAAACAACAAACTGATTTGATACCAGTTCATCTTTTTTGTGTGCATAATGATATCATACACATATATAAAAGTCATGGAACTTATGTCTCAACAGACATTACTCTCATTACTATAATGAACATTCTGGATCCTGCAGATGGCTCTACTCTAGTTCATTGTAGATGTTGCTTTGTGTTGGTAGCAGGCAATGTAATGAAAACATAAGAACATCTAAAAATAATTCAGAAAATAAGATTCTGCCCATTTTCATGTATTCTATTTCTTATTTAATTTATGACAAAAGACAGCATCTTTGCTGATCAAAATTTAGCATTGAAGATACACAGACACAGACACATGCACACACATATAATTTAATATTACTTCAGACACCTGCTATGTGCATTTAATACAAACAATGCAAAATAAAAAAAAAATATTTATGAAAGTGGAGGGCCAACTTAGGAGCCATGAAATGTTTGTTTAGTCAAGGGTCTGTATCTGTTTAGAGTAAAGGAGAAAAATGTTTTAAGAATTTTCCATAATACATGACTGTGAGAAATGCTTATCATCCAAATACACTATGTTGAACAAAATTAACTTTATATAAATATATATAAAAAGTGATTATCCATTGCCAAATTCCTCTTCCTCCTCTTCCTCTCTTCCTCTCTCTTGCTCTACACTCTCGATATAAACATAAGCAACTACAACTATAAATAATAAGATATACATAAAATAAGTTTGATTATGTAACAGAGGTAACATGTAGTACCATTACTAAAAACTGCTTAGCTTTTTTAAGATAAGCCAAAATTCCACAGGTGTTACCTGGAATATTATTTGGAATTTGTTTTTAGACATTCTCTGTTATATCTGAGCTATTTGTAAAGTCTCTTATACAGTTCTTTCTATGAAACTCAGAAGTATTTAATGAAGAAAACAAAGACAAAGAAACAAACAATCAACAGTTGTTCATTTAGTTTTGAAACCGAAGTGAGAATAAAATTTATCTTGTGCTCCAATCAAAGAGGTCTGAAAGGCCAGTGCATAACTTGATGTACATTTTGTCACACTAACATGGACTTAGGGCTGCTAAAACAAATTAGACTCAGTGCTAAACTAACACTGAAGATATTTAAAAGAGTAAATATGTTGTCTCTCTCTCTCTTTGTGTTTGAATGGGTTGACATAGTGTTATATTATTTCAGAAAACCTGGCATGTACATTTAATACAGAAAAGACTTCATCAAGATAAACAGTATTTATGAAGAATGCTGGCGGGGAGGGTCAAATTAGGATCCAAGAAAACATTTGTTCAGCCAAGGATATGTATTTATACAATGTAATGTGGGAAAAAAATGATTTAAGAACTGTCTATAGGGAATGACTTTTAAAAATGTACATGATCCAAATCTACCAGACTGCACAAAATAAACTTGTTGATAAAGTAACCTTTGTTCAGCCAAATTTTTATATTTATCCAGTGTATTATAGATTATTTTTCTTTGAAAAAAAGTCAATATTCTGCCTTATGTTATATAACAATATGAAAAAAACAATAACACATATTTGAGAATTTTCTGTGGAGATGATTATGAAAAATGTACATCATCCAAATACATAAATACACTTTTTTAAAAAAGTAATAATTTTAAATCCTTCTGGCATATAATCAAACAAATAAAGGTAGAGACTATGCCCATGCAATAAAAGACCTATACTTTCTCTCACGTGTTGAAAATGCCGTGGCCTGTCAGAATCTCCATGAATGGCCCTGGTTTGATTTTTGCTAACAATATCGAACACGTAGACAGGATCTTTTTTTAAAAAAAGTGATTTTCCATTGTCTTTTTGAGTTAGGTGTTTATCCGTTAATTTTTCATTGCTAAATTCTACTCTCCTTCCTCCTCCTCCTCCTCCTCTTCCTCCTCCTCCTCCTCCTCCTCCTCCTCCTCCTCCTCCTCCTCCTCCTAGTCTTCAGTCTTGGTATAAAAATATAAACAATATACATAAAGAAATAAACAAAATAAATATGACTGTGTAGTGGAGATAATTAAAAATATTAATTTGTCACAGAAAATTTTAAATCTAAAGCTAGTATAGAAATTATCTTGTGCTCCAATCAAAACAATCTGTATTTCTTGCTCTACAGCAGGCAAACTCAAACTACAGCCTGCACGATGGATCCAGCCCGCCAAAGCCATTAATCCAGTCTGCATAGACCATGGAGCTGCCTCACCACATTGCTACACCCACCCTTCAGACAAATACAGGACTTATGTTTGCAAGGGCCAGCAGAGTGCTTCAGCGGGCTGGCAGAGTGCTTCTGGGGGGATGGGGGAGGCCAAAAAAGGGGTAGGCAGAGGCCCCGGAAAGCATCAATGCACCCTGTTTTTGGCCATCAGAGTGCTTCTGGGGAGCGGGGGAGACTAAAAACAGGCCACGCCTTTAGCCAGCCGAGGAAAGAACTGAAAGATTTGCCAGGAACTTCAGTCCACCATTGCTCCATTAGGGGGGAAAAACCAAAGGGTCCCAATAGGAGAGGCTGCACCTGCTGCATAATTACACTGCACAATGCTTTGTGGAGGCACTTTTGTTCCTGAGGAAAGCCTGCGGCTTGGTGGCCTCCAGACATCAGATTCCCACCACCCAGTACAAGTTCATGAGTTCTTTCCCCCCTCAGGGGACATAGAGAGAGGGGGAGAGGGATGGAAAGAGAGAGGGAGAGGAGAGAGAGGAGGAAGAGAAAGGAGGGAGAGGGAGAGGGAGAGAAGGGAGAAAGAGAGAGGGAGGAGGGAGAGAGGAGAGAGAAAGAGAGAGGGAGGGAGAGAGGAGAGAGAGAGAGAAAGAGAGAGACGAGAAAGAGGGGAGAGAGAGAAGAGAGACAGAGAGAGAAAGAGGGAGGGAAAGAGGAGAGGAGAGGAGAGGACAGAGAAAGAGAGAAAGGGTAGGAGGGAGGGAGAAAAGAGATAGAGGAGAAAAAGAGAGAGAGAGAGGGAGAGGAGAGAGAGAGAGAAGAGAGAAAGAGGGAGGGAGAGAGGAGAGGGAGGGAGAGAGAGGGAGGAAGGGAGAGAGGAGAGAGAGACAGACAGACAGACAGACAGAGAAAGAGAAATGTTGTTTGTAACCTCCTTGTGGCTGAGAAGAATTGTTGAAAAACTGAGTTTTCTGAAGCGGACCACTAGACTCATAAACAATTTAAAAAATGATCTAATAAAAAGAAAAGTGAAAGAAAAGCAAATAAAATAGCCCCAGGAGTAAAACAAATTAAAGTTTAATTTGTGTGTATTATTTAATAAAGTGCTAAATTGGCAAAACGGACTACTAAATTGGCAAAATGGACTGCTAAATTGGCCACACCCATCTAGCCACACCTACCCAGTCACATGACTACCTAGCCACACCCACCCAGCCACTCCGCCCCCCCCCAACAGTCTGAGGGACTGTGAAGCAGCCCCCTGTTCAAAAGGTTTGAGGACCCCTGTTCTATAGAATAAAGGCAGGACAAATAAAGTTCTAAACACTTTTTGCAGACTTATATGGACTTAGAGTTGCTGAAGTAAACTAAGCTCCTGAGAAATGAGCCTTCTGAGGAGAATTAGAAGCATCCCAAAGATAAACCTCTGTTTATATTGAGCACTCTCATATTAAAAAAAAATATTTAAAAAGTATTTCACTCCATCATGAATTCTGATACAGGTACAAAGGTGTAAGATTTTTTCTTCTATTACAAACTCTGTAATCTTAATGCAGAATGGAAAATAAGTCAAGAATCAGTGAATTCCTTCTCCATGGATACCCTGATACTGAAGAGCTACGTATAGTCCATGTTATTGTTTTTTTAATAATTTATTTGGTAGCCCTCATTGAAAATCTCATCATCATCACTGTCATTGTTTATAGTCATCAGCTGCATTCACCTATGTATTTTTTTCTGGTCAATCTATCCTTGCAAGATCTTGGCTCCATCTCGGTCACAGTTCCCAAGTCCATGCTGAATTCCTTGATGAACACTGAAGCAATTTCTTACTCTGGATGTCTCTGCCAGGTGTTCTTCCTTATTTTCTTCGTGATGTCTCATTTCTTTCTCTTGGGTGTCATGGCCTATGATCGTTATGTAGCCATCTGCAAGCCACTGCATTATGAAATGATAATGAACAAAAAAGCCTGTATCCAAATGGCAACTAGCATCTGGATAAGTGCTCTGTTTTATTCAATGCTTCATATGGGAAATTTAGTTACATTAGAATTCTGTTCCAGGATCATCAATCAGTTATACTGTGAAATTCCTCAATTACTCAAAATCTCTTGTTCTAAGTTTTATGTTGCAGTAGAACGGGCACTTATCTTTGGATCGTCTTTAGGTTTTCTTTACTATATTATAATTGCTTTTTCTTATATTCAGATCTTCAGAACAGTTTTAAGAATCCCATCTACCCATGGGAAGCAAAAGGCCTTCTCTACCTGTTTACCTCATCTCATAGTCATTTGTCTGTTTATGATAAATGGTAGCTTTGCATATCTGCAACCCACATCCAGCTCTCCATCGATTTCAAATACCTTTGTTTCTTTCTTTTACTGTATGATGCCACCAGTCATGAATCCACTGATCTATAGCATGAGGAACAAGGAGTTTAAAATGGCATTCTGGAAACTAATTCTCCATTTTTTTCCCCACACCTTACAGAGGTATTCTCAGTTATGTATATTTTAATATATACTATTTGTTTTCTGGCCTTTGTGGAGTATGCCTTATCTTCAGTGGGTGAATAGGTGATATGCACACTAATTAACCAAGAAAGATTATTTTGATTCAGAAGTTAATTTTTTTCTGCTTGTAAAATTGGTGGAACTAAATGATTTTATATAGTTAGTGCATAACTATGGTTAATTAGTGTGCATATAATTAAAAGTAGTTAATTAAAATCTATTATGTTCTATTATCTATGATTGTACACAAGCATCCAGTATTGAATTTTGTGATAGAAAGAAATAGAGTTGAATAATAATATAGTAAAATTAGTTATACCTTTTTGTTTAAAGAAGAAATGTTATATATTCCTTATTATTTAAGTTATTATTTCTTGAAACATATGTGTGTGTGTGTGTGTATGTGAATTTATATGTGCATTTTAAAACATATATTTTATAAAGCCCTTTATACTATAACATACTCTTTTGTACTGTATTTCTTTTTAATGCATTTTTATGATTCATTCATTCAAATCAAATTTGTATATCTGTCTAGAAAGTGGGAAATATGTTCTTGAATGTATAGAAGTCATGTAGAACAGTTGTTTTTATGTATCTGTAACCTTCTGGTTTTTATGATACTTTATTTACTTTATACTGTATCGCAGAAATAAATAGAAAATAGAAGAACAACTGCAAAACATTATTTTGGGCTGTGAACACTGAAAAGAGGGACAGGAGACAAAATGTTCTATTTGTAGCTACCATTCTTCTCTCATTCCTATGACATGAAGGCTTATTTTCACAATTTGGTTAATCATTATTCTGAAAAGGGAATCAATATTTTCCCAATAGAAGTATATTTTATCCTTGTGACTGATTTACCACTTTGAAAATATTTTGTACCATTTCTCACTTATAATTTCAAAAGTAAATTTATTGTACTTTCACAATCTTAAAAATTCCGACTCTTGCATCACTATAACTGTATTCAAGTTTTGTATCTGTTTAATCATACTGTCTTTGATTTGTTTGACTTCGGAGATGTATTTTACTTATAAATTACATATTGTTCCTAACAAATATCCAGTATATGTGTTACAGGATTTTAAAATTCAGCCAAATTTCTCAATATTCCCCCTGGTTTTTATGATTCTTTTATTGTACTGCTTACAAGAAAGTATAGTTAATAATGAAAGTATTAATTAAGTGTAGAAAAATAATGTGTATTAAGATACTGATTATGAATTATCTTCTTATATATAGTATTAAAGCCTGTTAATCAATATACAAAGTGTCTTTCATCTGCATTCATGTTCCTTATTAGCATCTCAGTTTTGTCTTTATTGATTGGATAATTGACACCAAACCATATTGTTGCATATATTCCATCAGTACTGTTACAGAATCATTATGTTATGTATCAATACAATATTGTTAGCAAAAAAAATTATTTATGTTCCTCTTCCCATTGCATGAGGTTAGATAAAATAGACACACTCCTATTCCTTTCTTTTAAAAACTGCCACTTTATGGGAGCAAGGAAACATGTCTTTTCTGTTGCAGCTCCTACCCTAAAGAAAACTCTGCCCCCAGAATTTTGGCAGTCCTCTACTTCCTCTACACTTCTGAAAAGCACTGATAACCTGGTTCTTCCCCAAGGGTATGATAGGTGAAGTGACTGCATGTTGGAAGCTTGATTTGCCACCAGACTTTTGTTTTTAATGTTTATTCTTTTATAATTTTATATGATAAAGGTTTCTTTAAATAAAAAAAAGATAAAATATAGTGAACTATATTTGCTTATTGCTTAATGCATTGTAAGCTGCCCTGAGTCTCCGGAGAAGGGCGCCATATAAATCAAATTAAAAAAAAAAACTACTTTTGTCCAGAAGTTGTTTGCGATAAAGGCAAGTTTTTGTGTACATCTCAGATGAAGCAATTAAAATGCTCAAGTATTTTTCTGTAATGGTTCATAATTTGAATCAACTGCAAAGAGCCTTGGTGGTGCAGGAGACTAAAGTGCTGTTAAGTAGCACTTAGCTGCCAGCTGCCTGCAATTACTGCGAGTTCAAATCTCACCAGGCTCAAGATTGACTCAGCCTTCCATCCTTCCGTGGTAGGTAAAATGAGGATCCGGATTGTGGGGGCAATAAGCTGACTTTGTATGAAAAAGAACACCACTTGGGGGGGCCAAAAGCCCTACTAAGCAGATATATACAAAAGTATGAAGGCTATTGCTTAATGCATTGTAAGCTGCCCCGAGTCTCCGGAGAAAGGCGGCATATAAATCGAAGCAATAAATAAATAAATAAATAAATAAATAAATAAATAAATAAATAAATAAACTGATTGGCATTTCAGGAAATGATGACCAAAATTAACTTAAAACATTTCCAACTAATGTCAAGGACCTGAATAGTCCATTTAGAATGTAGATAGATGATAGTTAGTTAGTTAGTCAGTTAGTTAGTTAGGTAGATAGGTAGGTAGATAGGTAGGTAGATAGGTAGATAGGTAGATTGGTAGATAGGTAGATTGGTAGATAAGTAGATAGGTAGATAGGTAGAGAAAGAGAGAAAGAGAGAGAGAGAGAGAGACAGACAGACAGACATTAGTTTTATTGTTATAAGCACACAAAATACAAAAACAATTAAATAGACTATAGCAAAATAAAGTAACAAAACACTTATTAGATGCTAAAAGGTAGCAAAGATAAAGCCAAAACTACCACTAGAACCTAAGTATTTCTTTCCGTTTAAAGCAGAAAAAAAATTGTTGCTCTCTGTTGGTAACCTATCTGGGCGAAGGGAGCCCATATTTTCTAGGTCCAAGCCTTTGAGTCTGCTTACGATCAATAATTTGGTTTTGATATCATTATAAATGGGGTAACAGAAGACTTAATTAATGTTTTCACTTGTCCAACATCACAAGGACAAAGAGAATAATCAGGAGTGAATTTACAAAATCTCCCTTTGAGGTATGTGGGGGATAAAAAGATCTTAAACCTCTTTTCAGTGAAGCATTGATAATATTAACTACGTCTTGGGAGAGACTTCTATGCCTTTCATACTTGGAGCGTATGCACCAAGACAAATTCCTTGTGTGCCCAATCACACTTGGCCAATAAAAAAAATCTATTCTATTCTATTCTATTCTATTCTGTTCTGTTCTGTTCTGTTCTGTTCTGTTCTGTTCTGTACTGTACTGTTCTGTTCTGTTCTGTTCTGTTCTATTCTATTCTATTCTATTCTATTCTATTCTATTCTATTCTATTCTTATAATATCAAGATGGAAATTTTACTGTAGTAACATCTCTATTGACACCAGTTTCAAAATGCCTACCTCTGATATATTTATATATAAATGAATGTGTATATTTCATATCACATTATAAATATTTCATATATATCTTTATCATTTTAGCCATTGTCTATCCACTGCAGGATGAAGGCCTTTTTCACATGTTTCCAACTGATTTGGTAATTACCTTTCTTTTGCTAATTGGGCCCACAATACTTGCTAATGTCAGTGTAGTTACTGAGTGTAGGGAATCATCAATCTCTATTTTTATTATTTATGCCCACAAAAAAATATTGTTCATATGTCTGTCTGTCTATCTATCTATCTATCTATCTATCTATCTATCTATCTATCTATCTATCATCTATATATCTTTAACTACCCACTCACAACAGGAAAACATGTCTTAGAAGGAGCTAATGTAATCTAAAATACTTTCAAATGGCAGAATTCTATTATACAAAAACTGGCAGGGAAAGAGGTAATGTTTTTTGATGCATTCTCTCCAGTTATCAGTTTTGCAAATTAGAATATCACTTATTTATCCTCTGCAGAATTCTTCTGCTAGAGTAATATAGACCCATGGGACAGGTCCCAAAGAATACAATAAAACCTGTGCTCTACTATGGCCATACTGTACTGTCAATGGAGTCCAATGTTTAATAGAAGAAATGTTAAGAGAAATTGCAAAATGGATATCTTCTCATTGATAGTTTCACAGCATAAAATCTTACTGATGCAAAGGCAATAGGAAAAAAAATCTTTTTGAATAAAGATGGTGAGTGATTCATTTAATTTTATCTCATTGATGATTGATTTCTTTCTTCCTGAAAATATTCAGTACTGTAGACTAAATTGCCCTTTAAGTTTAAGTCAAATCAGAACTTATCTATTTGTACTAAAATTACATTTAATTTCAATAAGAGCTTAATAAAACTTAGAAATGAAGGCAGTCTTTAAAATTTCCATTCTATATTTCATATAGTAGGGCTAAGAAGCACCAATATTTCTTGCTTTGTAGAATTGTTAAATGCTAAAGATCATCCTTTAAATAGCAACTTCTACAGCCACAATAAGTTGTATATTTTAATAGATGTGAATGTTGCAAAACTGTATCAACTTAGCTAGTTATAATACTAGTGGAAGAGACAGGCAAATAATTTTTCAAGAAAGAAAAAAATTGTTTGTCTGTCTCTTCCACTAGTTCAGTGTTCTAGGAACTTTAAAATAAAGATTTTTGTTGGTTTGTTTGGTTTTTGTGTTGGTGATATAAAAATGTTCACTTCATCTGCATTTGCCAAATGTATCTGATATGTCTAAACTCAACATGGACAAAAGACTGGGGTGGTGGTTGGAGAGAGAGAGGGAGAGGGAGAGGGGGGGGAAGGGAGGGAGAGAGAGAGAGTCCTAGAACAACCAAAGACAGCAACCTGACAAAAGAATAGAGGTAATTAGCCTGAGTATGGCTAAATTTTCATTTATGTGAATTTTTTAAAAAGGGTATGTAACATTTTGGAAAGAAAGATATAAAACTGCAGGTAACTGAATATTCTATTATGATTTAATAACAACCTACAATTAATAATAGTCACTAGGACAATTTTAATTTCTAAAACTGTAACAAATTAGTTTAGAAAAAAATATTCATAATTGAATTTTATAACTAACGTTACTGTGCCCTCATTTTTGCTACTTCTGATTCAGAATGCTCATAGGGACAAATAATTCTTAAATTTGAAGGTACAGCCAGCCAATAATTATTCTATAATCTGGCTACCTTTCTTGCTTAATATGACTAGTATCAGTGGTGGGTTGCTCCCGGTTCGCACCAGTTTGCAAGAACCGGTAGTAAAAAAATTTAGTACTTCAGAGAACTGGTAATAACATTGGCTGGCCACGCCCCCAAACCGGTCCCTGGCCCGGTCGCCACTTGCTTACTCCGCCCACCTTATAAAAGTTTTTTTTTACTTTTAAAAGCATTTTTTCTACAACCTCTTTGGCTGAAAAAATGCTTTTAAAAGTTAAAAAAAGCCTCTGATGATCGCGCGGCTCAGCTGGGATCTCAGAAGCTTTTAAAAGCATTTTTTCTACAACCTCTTCGGCCGAAGAGGTTGTAGGGAAAAAAATGCCTTTAAAAGCCTCTGGCGATCCCAGCTGACTGTCAAAAAGCATTTTAAAATGCTTTTAAAAGTAAAAAAAAAAAAGTTGGCCACGTCACATTACCCAGTCACATTACCCCCACAAGCCATGCCCATAAAATAAGCCACACCCACAGAACCGGTAGTAAAAAAATTAGAACCCACCCCTGACTAGTATTAATCCATTTCTGTTATGTGGGATTGTTGAACAAATGTAAACAAAAGAAGTAGATTTGCTTTTTAAGAATGCTGGACATCCAAAGAATTCAATGCTTGAGGTCTTCAGATACATACCAGTGAAATTGAAGTTGTACTGTTCAGTTCTACATTAGGATTTGGTTGTTTTGTATTTATTGTCATTATCTATGTGAAGATTGTTGCTGCTGTTTTAAAAATTCCTTCTGTTCATGGGAGAAAAAATATCTTCTCTACTTGTCTACCACACCTCACTGTCTTTTCCATATTTTTATTTACTGTTTTATTTGCTTACCTAAGGTCCATTTCTAACAAACCATCAGTTCTCAATTTTATAATTACAATATTGTATTCCATTATTCCACCCATGCTGAATCCATTGATCTACAGCATGAGAAACAAAGACCTCAAAGCTGCTCTTTCAAAATTTCTCTGGTTGTTTGTTTTTGAAAAGACCTGTAACTGAATAGCTTCTTCTTCATCTATGTCAACGGAAAAGAGAAAATGGAGAGATGAGAAATTAGAGTAAGATTCTCAACATTTACCCTTCCCTAAGGTAAAATATTGTGATTAGGCAGGTGATGATGATTTTAAATGTGATGATTTCATTTCCTGAAGGGATTTCAACTAAACAGGTGAAGGTTATTTTTTCAGTTTCAGAAGTAATTTGAAGACAATACAAAGAGTTAAATGCTGGAGGTCTTCAGATAAATACTGTACCAGTCCATCTACAGAATGTAATGAAAAGTGTTTTCATTTCAGAATGCCTCTGAAGAGCTTATTTCATATGTGCATGTGGTACAATATGTAATATATCAGGGTCAAAAGAAGATATTACCTTAATAAAGTTATTTAAACCACATACAGTATATGCACAAGAATCCTGGACACCCGAAAAGTTTATTGGTTGAATTTTTCAGATATATAACATAATAACAAAAATGCAGAACATAATGACAAAAATGTTTCAAAAAGGATCAGAATGCTTCTGAAGAGTTTGTGGTATATCTAATATATCTGGGTCAAACAAAAATATTTCCTTCATTAAGTCACATATACTGGATATGCACATATAACTGTTAATCAATAGTTTTAAAATGTGTTTTCAATTTCATATAAGTAGTTATAGATATGAGAAATATTTTACCAATATTTTACTTTTTAGAAGATGATTTCTTTATTAAATTCAGAATCAATATAAAAGTAGCTAAGGTCCTTAGGATTATTATTTTCATCATTTTAAGCCAGAAAATAATTAATTACAGATATTTTGGTGCTTCCCCTCCAGAACCTAAAATTGACTTTTCTACGAATAGTGCAGTTCTGATAATTCTGGACCTCCTATAAAATATACTGAGCATTAGTTCCAGCCTGCCTCTGATACATCAAATCAAGGATGAAGGGATGCTGACATCTAGGCAGGACTTGGATCTTGAACAATGGAGCTATTTTCTTGCAGATATGTTTTTTCTTGTTGATATTTTTTCTCTATTATTATTTAAACTTGGAAAGAAGTATTTAAATTCTTAGTAATAGCTCTCGCTTCATCTTGTTTTAATCTTCTTACATTCACTATCCTTTATATTATTTCATTTTATAATCATAATATTCTGCTGTTATTTTATTGTTTTTTATGGTATGCCATATATTGTGATGTCATAATTTGCCTCCTTCATATCTGAGTATGATATTTAAGAACATTTGATTCTTGCAAATCATTTTGCATATGTGTTTTAATATTGGCAAAGGAGATTAGCATTACAGTTTTATACAGTCTGAAGAGTAAGCAATGTAGAACTCTAAGGAATGTGAGGTTGGAGGGCCACACAAAATTCTAAGCACTATTTTTATAGAACAAAGAACATGAAATTTGTATTTTAAGTCTTTGTTTAACCTCACTGAAGAGTATAACATGGTGCTCATAAATTTGTTTGTCAGCAGAACCTTCGCAATTCCCACTGGTCCAAAATATCAAATATGCATTATGGACCTCTTTTTGAGAATCTTCAAGCAAACATATTTGAAAAGGATTGATAAGTGTCCAATAATTTCTCATATCATAATGAATATCATTATTAAGAGCATTTGTACAATATACTCTGTAATCAACTAGTGAAAGATACTACATGAGTCACCCTCTTCAATTTTTAAACAACTATAATGATATTTAATGAGCCACCTACAAAATAAAATAAAAACTGTGTTTTAAGGTGTTTACACATTACCCTTAGACTCATTGAAAAAAACCTTCAAGTTAAGCATTTTTAAATTTCCATTATGAGAAAGTTGTACTTCTGGGCTATTTTAATGTACCCTCTCCTGTTATCAGGTTTGTTAAACCAGAACATCAATATTTTCCCCTATATAACTCTTTACTTTTATAATCGAGACCCTTGGGAAACAACCCACAGAGCTTTGAAAATCTCTGATCCACTGAGGCTCCATTATATTTCCAATAGTATCTAACTCTTACTATATTTGAAGGAAAAGGCTAGAGATACTAGATTATATGCCATTTATGGCTCTATAGCATACAACCTTAGAAATGGTTTCATGAATAAAGATGGTGAGTTACCTTTAGTTATTTTTCCAGCTCTCAGTAAATATTAAGTTTGGTTTTCTTGCCTATTCTCTTATAATAATAAGTCCAGGTAAAGTAGATTAGATATTTTAACAGATTTTATATAATTATTTTTCAATTATATTTTGGAAATGAAATGAAAATAATATAAGTAGATCTTAATAAGACCTTAGAATATTTAAAAATAAAATATTAAGCATTACCTCCCTCAAAATGGTTTCTAATTACCATAGCAGACACAATAAAATAAAATTAAAAACTGAGCTTAACCGTTCTTGATTAGAAGATTCAGCATGCTTTCTTTTCCCCAGCTACAAATCAATGGGTATGAACCAAATCAGACATTTTGATCTTATTTAATATGAATCTAATTGATTAAACAATTAATTTGAAAGATGATTTGAATCAGGTCTGATCTAATTTATATGGGTCTCTGAAGATTCATTGTTAAATCTATAAGCAGCTTACAAAGGTTCTGGATTGAAGAAATCTTCAGAATTTCCTTTCTACTTTTCACATGATAGGATTGAGAAATAATAGTATCTAGAAGATTAAACTTTATTTGCAGTCCTCCAAATTTTTAAAGAACACATTTTAGTGACTTTTTTTTTCCTGGGGGAGGGAACAAACTTTTGATCAGAAGTTGAGAAATGCATTTTATGTAGCTAAATACTAAAAAGAAAATGCTTTGCAAAGCCATTTTAAATCATGACATAACAGAAAAGAAAAGGGTGTAACTATCTCTTATGGCTGAATTCCATATTGAATTCAAATATTAGGAACTTTAAATATAATTATCCTCCAGAGGAATCATTTCTTCCAATTTCCATTTTTCTGCATTTCGTTCTTTGAATCCCTATTTATTTTTAATCAAAAAAAGTTGCATTATAAACCATACTGACATTAACAGAATTTCTGGCAACAGAAATTGACAAGAGCTATTCAAATGATGGAGAGAGAAAGTTTCCCAGTATTGATTCAGAAATAGAGACTGCTGACAGTTGTATTATAATATTCCTACAATGCAAGTAATATTGATTTAAAACCAAATTTTGGGAAGCAGAATATTGAATAAAATCAAACTTAATAAAAAGGATTGGTCTGTTTCATTTCTCACTCTCCAGAAATGTAATGGACATTTATTGAACATTGAACAGATTCTATTCATATTTTTTTTCAAATGTATATTTAATTATTCTTCTCTTTTTTCTAGGGAGAACATGCTCACAATTAAAAATGCATAATTACACATCTGAGTTTCTTCTTTTGGAATTCTCAAAGATTTGGGAGCTACAGATTATATATGTAGCCTTATTACTAATACTGTATTTAATTACATTAATAGGGAATCTTCTAATCATCGTTGCAGTTGTTTCTGATCACCGTCTTCACATTCCCATGTACTTCTTCCTAATGAATTTAGCCATACAAGACATTGGTTCAGTTTCAGTCATTATTCCCAAAGCCATTTTTAATTCCCTTACAAATACAAGGCACATTTCTTATTCAGGATGTGTTACTTAAGTTCTCATGTTTGTTTTTTTTGTCGGTTCTGATATTGCTGTCCTAACTCTCATGGCCTATGATCGGTATGTTGCCATCTGCAATCCTTTACAATATGAAATCATAATGAACAGGACAGCCTGCAAAAAAATGATTAGTTGTGTGTGGATCACCAGCTTTCTCAATTCTGTAATGAACACTGTTGAAACTTTCATTATTCCATTTTGCTCAAATATTATCCATCAGTTTTATTGTGAAATCCCACATTTACTTATGATTACATGCTCTGGGTCATACATAACTGAAATTGAAGTTGTATTGTTCAGTTCTACATTAGGATTTGGTTGTTTCGTATTTATTGTCATTACCTATGTGAAGATTTTTGCTGCTGTTTTAAAAATTCCTTCTATTCATGGAAGAAAAAAGACCTTCTCTACTTGTCTTCCACACCTCACTGTCTTTTCCATATTTTTGTTTACAGTTTTATTTGCTTACCTAAGGCCCATTTCTAACAAACCATCAGTTCTTGATTTTATAATTACAATATTGTATTCCATTATTCCACCCATGCTGAATCCATTGATCTACAGCATGAGAAACAAAGACCTCAAAGCTGCTCTTTCAAAATTTCTCTGGTTGTTTGTTTTTGAAAAGACCTGTAACTGAATAGCTTCTTCTTCATCTATGTCAATGGGAAAGAGAAAATGGAGAGATGGGAAATTAGAGTAAGATTCTCAACATTTACCCTTCCTTAAGGTAAAATATTGTGATTAGGCAGACGATGATGATTTTAAATGTTAGTCATTTCCTGAAGAGATTTCAACTAAACAGGTGAAGGTTATTTTTTCAGTTTCAGAAGTAATTTGAAGACAACAGGTATAAAATGAAATGAAATGAAATGAAATGTAAATGTATATAGTACATTGTGCATACAACATAAAATATATCAATTCATATTGTGTGTGTGTGTGTGTGTGTGTGTGTGTGTGTGTGTGTGTGTGTGTATTTTTGACATAGTTTCTGAACAATGTATCCTTATCCTAAGGACATTGAGCTTGCTCTTTCAAATCTTATGTGGCATTTTTTTTTGAAAAACAAAAAAACTGAATTGTGTATCTTCCCCTCTTTCTGAATGTCAAGGAGAAAGAGAAAAAGGAGATATAGGAAATAACACTAATTTCCTCACTTTGGACCCATTAACTTAATTCTTCTTTTTTCCCCATATCCATCATCGGACATTGGCGATCATGTTCACAATCCTAATTTTATCAACTGCTGCGTGAAAAAATGCTGCTGAGTTTTGTCCAAATCAGACCCCTAGATTTTGAAGCCATGATGTTCTTCTTCTGCCTGGACCTCGTTTGCCTTCAATCTTTCCATGGAGGATTAACTGAAGTATATTAACTTACTATAAAAAGATTTTGATGACACAGATGTGACATGTTATTCATTTCCATCAAAACATTTTTTCCCCCGGGATGTTTACTTTTTAGAAGATGATTTCTTTATTAAAATATAAATACAGCTAAGATCTTTGAAATGGATTTGAATATAAGTAGCTTGGTTTGGTAGTTGGGCTGTTGATCTGAGTTCCGAGCTTGGCAGTTTGGTTGCAAATGTTTCATCACCTTTTGAGGAGACATTGTCAGTGTGTTTTGAATTGTGTTCGTCTGTCAGAGCTCTGGTCTTTAAATACCTTTTTATGTGATGCAAATTAGTGTGGATGTTGTTTGTTTGGCTATTTCTGAGTTATGGTCTGACTAGATACAGAATGTTTCAGAAATGGCAGCAAGATTCCTTTGTCAGCATGACAAAGGCCTCAACTATCAGACAGACCCTGTCAAAACCAAAAAGACAGATAGAAACAAACCAAAGATCAGGCATCATATATCAAAATCCAGCAGCAACTGTTAAAAGAACTATGTTGGCCAAACAGGAAGAAAACTATCAAACAGGCAGCATGAACACTTCCTGGCTATCAAAAGGCATGACCCATTATCCCTCATGTCTGTCCATTAAGATTCAGAAGGAAACAAATTTGATCTAATTGGGACCACAGTTGTAACCCAGGTGAAATCAAGGAGAAAAAGAGAATTCCCCGAAGCCTGACTTTCTACCAATAAGTCAATAAATAGACATATTAACATAGATCCATTCTACCGATCACTAAGAATGAAAGAACTGAATCAACTGCGACCCCGAAGATAGCATTTATAACAAACAAACAGGCACCCCTCGACACAACAACAAAAATCACAACCCATCAGCTCACAATAAATCAGACCATATTTCTTGGCAGGTGGTTGTCACATTTATTTTATTATTTATTTATCATATTTGTATACCGCCCTACTCCCAAAGGACTCAGGGCGGTGAACAGCCAAAATAAAATACAGAGACATTCAAAAAGTTAAAAAACTATTAAAAACAGATTAAATAATTTAGGCTCAAAAAACAAATTAAAAACATCCAATTTATCTAAAAAACATTTAAAACCCAATTTAAAAGCCAATTTAAAAGGGAGAGTTAGGCCAGACCAGCCTGTTGGAATAAAAATGTTTTTAGGGTGCGGCGGAAGATGCGTAAGTCTTGGATCCTCCGTATCTCCGGGGGGAGCTCGTTCCAGATGGCAGGTGCCCCCACAGAAAAGGCTCTCCTCCCTCTCTAACAACCACCAGCCATTCAAACAGGCCAAAACCAGACCATGACTCAGCAGTATCCAAACAAACTATACTAATTTACATCTCACAGATGGTATTTAAAACCAAAGACCATGCCTCAGTAACAACAGCCAGCCGATCAAATAATCCGGTCAGACCATGATTCAGAAGTAGCCAAACAAACAACATCCATACTAATTTGCATCACATAAAAAGGTATTTAAAGACCAGTGCTGTGACAGACAAGTACAATTCAAAGCACACTGGCAATATCTCCTCGAATGGTGATGAAACATTTGCAACCAAATTGCCAAGTCCAGAGCTCAGACCAACAGCGCAGCTAAGATAATTAAGAGGACATGTTTGATTATTTCCATTACTTTAAGTTAGAAAAGAATCAACCACAGCCACTTTGATGCATTCCCTTTAGAGACTAAAATTGATTTTATCATGCATACTGCAGGCCTAGTAATTCTGGGATTCCCATCAAATATACTGTACATTATTTCCAGCCTTCCTTCCTTACATTAGATCAGCAAAGGCTGAAGAGATGTTGCCACCACCTAGCCAGGCATGTTTGACAATTGTGTATTAATAAACAGAATGGCTTTGATCTTAAACAATTGGTCTCTTTTTTTACAGATGTGTTTTCACCTGTCGATATTCAAGTTGCCCACTTTTGCTCTGCTGTCATTTAAACTTGGAAAGAAGTATTTAAGTTCTTAATTGTAGTTCTGGTTTCATCTTATTTTAATCTTCTACATCCAATATTCTTTGTAATATTTCATCTTATGACCTTACTATTCTACTGATTTGTTGTATTTTATGGTACCCTATATGGCATCATTTGCCACCTTTATATGTCAGTATGATGTTTGAAAATATAATTGTATTCTATTGAGTTTTACATGTGTGTTTCAATATTGCCAAATGAAATTGGCATTACAGTTCTACATTGTCAGAAGAGAAAAATAGGTTGAACTCAAAGGAATGTGAGATCTGAAAGCCACAAGCAATTCTAAGTACTGCTTGTACACCTGTTTACAGAACACAAGAAATATGAAAATTGGATTTTAAGTCTTTGTTTAAGTTCATTGAAGAGCATAACATGATTCTCATGAATTTGCATAATCAGCAGAATCTTCCAGTTCTCCCCTGGCCAAAATATAAAATATGCATAATGGACTTTGTTTTTAAGAATCTTCAAGCAAAGATATCTCAAAAGGCTTCATAAACCTGTTAAGATTTCTTCTATTATAATGGACTCAGAATAGGGCCCTATGCCACCATCTAAGAGCCTTTGTGAAATATACTCTGTAAGCATCTAGTAAAATAAAGATATTGTATGGATCTTGAAATCATCTTCTGAATTTTTCAATAAATGTAATGATATTTAATCACCCACCTACAAAATAAAATAAAAACTATGTTTTAAAGTGTTTACACATTACCCTTAGACTCATTGTAAAAGACCTTCAAGTTGAGCATTTTTAAATTTCCATTCTGAGAAAGATGGACTATTTTGATGTATTCCCTCCTGTTATCAGGTTTGTAAAATCAGAACATCAGTATTTTCCCCCTATAGAATTCTGTATTTAAAATAATAGAAACCCTTGGGAAATATCCCACAGAGTTTAGGAAATCTCTGATCTACTGAGGCTCCATTATATTTCCAATGGAGTCTAACTCTTATTATATTTGGGGGAAAACGCTAATCATATTGGATGACATGTTATTCATGGATCTTCAGTATCCAATGTTAGCAACAGTTGCAAAGAAAAAGAACAAAAGTCAATAAAGAAAACTGCATGAATAAAGATGGTGAGTTATTCCCTTTTTTCCCCTAAGCTTTTTTGCTTTTCCCTTGCAATTACAATCCCATTTAAAAGAGATTAGATATTTTATTGGATTTTATTATTTTTCAGACAGATTTAGAAATGAAATGTAAATAATATAAGTAGATCTTAATAAGATAATAGAATGCTTAAAATAAAATATTAAGCATAGCCTCCCTTGAAATTGTTTCTAATTAGCATAAGAGACACAATCAACAAAATTTAAAGACTGAGCTTAACCCTTATTAATTACAAGATTCAGTGTGTTTTCTTTTACTGAAGCTACAAATCTATGGATGTGAACTGATTCAGACATTATTATCATATTTGCTGTAAATCTAATTGACTAAATAACTAATTCAGAGAATGATTTGAATCAAATCACATCTCATTTTTATGGGGCTCTGAAAATTTTATTCTTAAATCTATAAGCAGCTGAAGTATGTCAGAATTTCCTTTCTGCCTTTCACATGATATGATTAAGAAATAGTAGAATTTAGATTTCCTAATTCTTTATTTGAAGACCTACAAGTTTTTAAAGAATATTTTTCAGTTGTTGCTTCTTCCAGGAAAGGGGGAATATTTTTTTCCCCAAAACATCATTTCTTTCTTTAAAAAAATTCTAAATTATGTGCTCCATCAGTAAAATATATTGTATGCAGCTAGCACCCAAAAGAAAAGGAAAAAGATACTTGTGAAACCATTACTGTCTAAATCACAACATTACAGGAAAAAAAAAGGTGTAAGTATCTCAATATGGCTGAATTCCAAACAGTTCAAACCATAGGAACTTTAAACAGAGAAATGGTTTTCCCAATTTCCCTTTTTCTACATTTTGATCTTTGAATCTCTCAGATTATTTTTGTTTTTTTTTATTTATGCACTATACTGAAATCTGGTAACAGAAATGGCATGAGAAACTCAACTGATGGAGAGAGAACATTCCCCAGAATTGATTTAGAGATAGAGACTGCTATAATATTGCTACAATACAAATAATAGTGATTTAAATTCAAATTTTGGCAAGCAGAATATTGAATGAAATGAAACTTAATAAAAAGGATTTGTCTGTTTCATTTTTCATTCCCTAGAAATGTAATGGACATTTATTGAACATTGAACAGATCCTATTTATATGTTTTTCAAATGTATATATAATTGCTCTTCCTTTTTTTCTAGGGAGAACATGGTCACGATTAAAAATGCATAATTACACATCTGAGTTTCTTCTTTTGGAATTCTCAAATATTTGGGAGCTACAGATTGCATATGTAGCTTTATTACTGATACTGTATTTAATGACATTAACAGGGAATTTTCTAATCATCATTGCAGTTGTTTCTGACCACCGCCTTCACATCCCCATGTACTTCTTCCTAATGAATTTAGCCCTACAAGACATTGGTTCAGTTTCAGTCATTATTCCCAAAGCCATTTTTAATTCCCTTACAAATACAAGGCACATTTCTTACTCAGGATGTGTTACTCAACTCCTCTTGTTTGTTTTCTTTATGGGCTCTGACATCGCTGTCCTAACTCTCATGGCCTATGATCGGTATGTTGCCATCTGCAATCCTTTACAGTATGAAATGATAATGAACAGATCAGCCAGCAGCAAAATGATTAGTTGTGTATGGATCGCCAGCTTTCTCAATTCTGTAATGAACACTGTTGAAACTTTCATTATTCCTTTTTGCTCTAATATCATCAATCAGTTTTACTGTGAAATCCAACATTTACTTAAGATTGCCTGTGCTGGAACACACATAACTGAAATTGGAGTTGTATTGTTCAGTTCTACATTAGCATTTGGTTGTTTCATATTTATTGTCATTACCTATGTGAAGATTTTTGCTGCTGTTCTAAAAATTCCTTCAGTACATGGAAGGAAAAAGGCCTTCTCCACTTGCTTACCACACATCACTGTCTTTTCCATATTTTTGTTTACTGCCTACTTTGCTTATCTAAGGCCCATAACAGACAATCCCTCATATCTTGATTTTGTGATTACAGTAATGTATTCTGTTGTCCCTTCCATGCTAAATCCATTAATCTATAGTATGAGAAACAAGAACATCAAAGTTGCACTTTCAAGATTTCTTAGCCTGAGAGCATTTTTCAAAAAAAACTAATAAATGAAAACTTTGTCTCCTATTTCGGTTTTAGATGCAATTAGTAAGACCAAGCACAAGTTACTAAAAGATGATAAAATGTAACTGAATTATCGCAAGCTTTTGGGCATTTATTTTAAAGGAAATATATGAGAAAACGATATGTTTAGAAAAAATTCAAAAAATATTTAATAATGTACCTACATTTGATTTTTTTTTGTTTATTGTTATATCTGCTTACCAAAGGCCCATTTCTAATAGACCCTCAGATCTTGATTTTATAATTACAATATTGTATTCCATTATTCCACTCATGCTGAATCCATTGATCTAGAGCAGGTGACCTCAAACTTTTTGAACAGGGGGCCACTTCAGGGTCCCTCAGATTGTTGGGGGGGTGGACTTGCTAGGTGGGTGTGTCTGGGTGGGCATGGTTTGGTGGCCATGTGTGTGGCTGGAGCCATGTGACTGGGTGGGCATGGTTTGGTGGCCATGTGTGTGGCTGGGGCCCCCATGTGACTGGGTGGGCATGGTTTGGTGGCCATGTGACTAGGTGGACGTGGCTAGCTGGTCATGTGACTGGGTGGGCATGGCTATTGCATAGGGACTACTCAGAGGGCTGAAAAAAGTGATTTCTGACTGGTCCTCGCACTTTTGACCGGTCATCATTTATGCCAATTTCAGCACTTAATTAAATTAATTAAATAAAAATGACCTTCTAGAGAGTTTGGAGGCAGTCCGAGGCAGGTGTTCGGGCCAGCTGCAGGGCAAGGTGATACAACCGGGGTAGGTAGGCCACTGCTGGCCAGGTGGGAGGCGGGTGCAGGCCTACAGGGCCTACACCCTGGCTGCAGGGTGGAGCGATCGGATGGGGTAGGTCAGGGGTCTGCAACTTTAAACACTCAACCATAAACACATGTAAACACTTAAACACAACCTTAAACCTGGGTGAGCATTGCCAACTCCATGTCACTTACTCCCACCCAGGTTTTGTGGCTCCCAGTATTTTCTTTTAAACAGGTATCTCTGTATGTCTCTTTCATCTCTCTCATCTCTTTCTTTCTCCCCTCCTCTCTTTCTCTCCTTCATCTCTCTTTCTCCCCCCCTTTATCTCTTTCATCTCTCTTTCTCTTCATCTCTTTCTCCCCTCTTTCTCTCCTTCATCTCTCTTTGTCTCCCTCTCTCTTTCTGTCTCTGATTCAAGAATGCTGGTCACCCAAATTGTTCAATGCTGGAGGTCTTCAGACACATGTCATTCCATCTACAGAAGATAATGAAAAATGTTTTCATTTCAGAATGCCTCTGAAGATTTTATTTCATACTTGCATGTAGTAAAAGTAATATATCTTCGTCAAAAGAAAAATTTTCCTTAATTGAGTCTCATATACCTCATATGCACATTATTGTTAAGGAATAGTTTTAAAATGTATTTCCACCTTCATCTATCTATCTATCTATCTATCATCTATCTATCTATCTATCTATCTATCTATCTATCTATCTATCTATCTATCATCTATCTATTTATCTATCTATCTGTCAAAACATTTTTCTCCTGGGCCTGCTTATTTTTTAGAAGATGATTTCTTTATTAATTTCAAAATCTAAATGCAGCTAAGATCCTTAAGAGGATCCTTAAAGTAATGATTATTTTCATTACTTTAAATTTGAAAATAAATCAACCACAGCCAGTTTGATTCACCCCCTCTAGAGACTAAAATTGATTTTACCATGCATACTGCATCCCTAGTAATTCTGGGATTCCCATCAAATATACTGTGCATTATTTCCAGCCTTCCTTCCTTACATTAGATCAGCAAAGGCTGAAGAGATGTTGCCACTACCTAGCCAGGCACGTTCAACAATTATATAGTAATAAACTGAATGGCTTTGATCTTGAACAATTGGGCTATTTTTTTAGAGATGTGTTTTCACTTGTCGATACTCAAATTGCCACTTTTGGTCTGCTGTCATTTAAACTTGGAAAGAAGTATTTAAGTTCTTAGTTGTAGCTCTGGTTTCATCTTGTTTTAATCTTCTTATATCCAATCTTCTTTGTAATATTTCATCTTATTATACTGCTGATTTGTTGTGTTTTATGGTATCTTATTTGGCATCATTTGCCTTTGTCATATCTCAGTATGATGTTTGAAAATATCATTGTATTCTATTGAGTTTTATATCTGTGTTTCAATATTGCCAAATGAAATTGGCATTACAATTCTATATTGTCTGAAGAGGAAAATAGGTTGAACTCAAAGGAATGTGAGATTTGAAAACCAAAAGAAATTCTAAGTACTGTTTGTACACCTGTTTACAGAACACAGGAAATATGAAATTTGGATTTTAAGTCTTTGTTTAACTTCCTTGAAGAGCATAACATGGTGCTCATGAATTTGGTTAAGAACTTTTCAGTTCCCATCTGGCCAAAATATGAAATATGCATAGTGGACTTTGTTTTTAAGAATCTTCAAGCAAAGATATCTCAAAAGGATTGATAAGCTTGTTAAGATTTCTTCTATTATAATGGACTCAGAATAGGGCCTTATGCCACTATCTAAGAGCCTTTGTGCAATATACTCTGTAAGCATCTAGTAAAATAAAAATACTGTATGGGTCATGAAATCATCTTCTAAATTTTTCAATAATTGTATTGATATTTAATCACTGACCTACCAAATAAAATATAAGCCATGTTCTAATATGTTAGATGTATTGTAAATGATCTTCAAATTGAGCATTTTTAAATTTCCATTATGAGAAAGTTGTACTTCTGGACTATTTTGATGTATTCCCTCTTGTTATCCAGTTTGTTAAATCAGGATATCAGTATTTGTCCCCCATAGAAATCTGCACTTAAAATAATAGAGATCCTTGGGAAACATCTCACAGAGTTTTGGAAATCTCTGATCCTTTGAGACTCCATTATATTTCCAATAGAGTCTAACTCTTACTGTATTTTTTGAAAAAGACCAGAGATAGATGATATGCCATTTATGGCTTTATAGTCGTGATGGCGAACCTATGGCATAACCCATAACAGTGGGCAATGAGCTCAGCTGATTTTTGGGCCTTCTGGGTCCACCAAAAGTTGGGAAACAGGCTGTTTTCTGCCTCCAGAAGGCCTGGGGTGGTGGTGAAGGCCCATTTTTCTCTCTCAACTGGCTCCAGAGCCCCTCTATGAGTCTGGGGAGGGCAAAAATGGCCTTCCCCACAATCCCTGAGACCTCTCTAGGAGTCTCTGGAGGCTGGGGACAGCAAAAAACATCACTTCCTGTCCAACCGGAAGTTGGGAAATGGGCTGTTTCTGGCCTCTGGAGGGCCTCTGGGTGGCAGGGAAGGCCATTTTCGTCCTCCCTAGACTCATAGAGAGTCTCTGGATCCAGGTGAGAGAGAAAAACGGGCCTACTGGGCCATCATGTGCCAGGAGCAGGGGGGAGGGGGTCACACACACATGCGTGGGAGTGGGGTGTATAGAATTATGGGTGTGTGCATGCGTGCACGTGACCCACCCCACCCACCCCTCCTGGCACGTGATGGCAAAAAGGTTAGCCATCACTGCTCTATAGCATACAATCTTATCAATGGTTGCATGAATAAAGATGGTGAATTATTCCCCTTTCCCTTTAATTATAGTTATTTTTCCCTTTTTCTCTGAAAATGCTAAATATTTAAAATATTGATTACCTCCCCCAATGTTTCTAATAAGGATACAGACACAATCAACTAAATTTAAAGATTAAGCTTTACACTTATTTATTAGACGATTCAGCATGTTTTCTTTTCCCCAGGTACAAATCAATGGATGTGAATCAATACAAACATTTTGATCTTAATTGACTAAACTGGGGTCCCCATCTTGGGAGCTTTGCAACCAGTGACTTGCAAGTGTGTACATGCATCATCACTTGATGAGAAGCAGGAAAGTGCATGTGGCAGGCACGCATGCATGCTGCTCACGGAATTGGAGTTGCCATGTGCACACTTGCCAGTTGCTTGCACAGAACCATTTCGTCTCCCACATACACACAGTTCTGCAAAGTTGGAAACATTGGGGAATTCTGAACTAAAGAACTAATTAAGGGATGATTTGAATCAAATCGGATCTAATCTATATGGGTCTCTGAAGATTCATTGTTAAATCTATAAGCAGTCTACATAGGTTCTGGATTGAAGCAAATCTTGAGAACTTCCGTTCTACTTTTCACATGATAGGATTGAGAAATACTAGTATATGGATGATTAAGATTTATTTGCAGTCTCCGAATTTTTAAAGAACACTTTTTTTTTTTAATTTGATTTATATGCCGCCCTTCTCCGGAGACTCAGGGCGGCTTACAATGCGTTAAGCAATAGCCTTCATTCTTTTGTATGTTTTATACAAAGTCAGCTTATTGCCCCCACAAACTGGGTCCTCATTTCACCTACCTTAGAAAGGATGGAAGGCTGAGTCAACCTTGAGCCTTGGAGAGATTCGAACCAGCAGAAATTGCAGGCAGCTGTGTTAATTACAGGGTGCACTAAACCCCTGTGCTATCAAGGCTCTTAGGAATGTTTTTTTTTTAGGAATGTTATTTTTTCCTGGGAGAGTGAGCAAAAATGTGCTCCATCAGCAGTTGAAAAATGCATCTTATGTAGCTAGATATCAAAAATAAAATGGTTTGCAAAGTAATTTAAAATCACAATATAACAGAAAACAAGAGGGTATAAGCATTTCAATATGGCTGAATTCCACAATGTTCAAATCCCTAGGAACTTTAAACAGAGGAATGATTTCCCCAATTTCCCTTTTTCTGCATTTCAATCTTTAAAACTCTAAAATTCTTTTTGCTTTTTGCTTTTTTGGGGGGGGAACAAAAGTGTTATATTATAAACTATACTGAAATTTATTGAGAGAAGCAATTCAAATGATGGAGAGAGAAAGTTTATCAGAAATAGTGAGTGCCTACAGATATTTTGGGAAGCAGAAAATTGAGTTCAATGAGACTTAATAAAAAAAAATCTGTCTGTTTCATTTGTCTTTCCTTAAGGTTTTAATGGACAATTATGGATATTTTTTCAAGGAAAGAATAAATAAGAAAGTCAATTTGTCTCTTGGAAATGCAC